GCAAAGCATAGACACATTGAAAACTTTTTCCTTTTCGAATTTGAATAAATATCCTTCATCTTTTATTGGAATTAATGAGATGCGTGGAAGGAAAATTTGTTTTTCAACACATTATACAATTATTATTTCTGCATAGATAATATGTTTCTTGAAATCACGACAAATTATTCTTGTTCCATTGTAAATACCGTTGGATGGGTCTAGATTTATTAAGAGCATCACCGAACAATTTCTTTTCAAGATTAATTAATGTGACGAGATACCATTTGACACTCATTAAGATAAAATTGATTTTTATCATCTATTGTTTCATCAAAACTGACAAATTCTTTACTTTCTCCAAGAAATAATCCAATTAGTTTGTCATTGAGGTAGTCAGCATACACATTTTTTGTTGAAAGAATTCCACATTGTGCCATCTAATCAGAAGAATATGCATTTTCAGTTAAACTTAAGAACACTGCATTGATTTAGTGTGACCCCGAAATTTTAGCATCGTCACAAGCTATAACTATCTCGTTTGGTAAGTTAATGAAATCATCATCTATATAAGGTTCTATTCCATTATCACTTTTGATCAAGTGTTGTACAAATCGATTGTCCAATATTATTTTTAATATGTAATATTAGGTTTTAAAAAATTCAAATGTATAAGTAATATTGTTCAAGTTAATTATATATATAGTATTATTATAAATTATTTTTAATTGTATGTAATAATGTTTTTATTAATAGCGTACTAATAATTAGTAATAATTGTGCTTAGTGGAAATTAATTGACTTAATTTTTGAAAGCAATAATAATTATTAATTATTAAATTGAATCACTTGGTGTTCCGTAGTGAATCATAAAAATTTATCTATATTCATATGTAACTGTCAAGTAAAACAACTTTTCAATAATGGTAAATAATAAATACAATATATTAATGCAACCTTTCAATTTTTTAATTTTTTTTTCTTTTTATAAACCATGAGGGTATATTGGGCATATAAGTATATATGTAAGAGTAAGTATTCAAAAGTTTCTCCCAAATCCCCACTTTTAATATATTGTAGATTTACGAATTAAATAGTTTATAAGTTCTTCCTAAATGGATATTTAATTGAAAATTTTAAAATTTAAATAACTTAAGTCCGGAAGAAATTTTTTGTCATCCTTAAGTAACTGATGTTAAAGGAAATATATACAAAAGATTACAACATAGTGTGACAATTACATATTTTGATAGTATTAATAGTTATCATAATCTTATTATTAAATAATTGTCATAATCATTCATAGGAAGATGATTACTATTAATATTCTCTATAAGACAAAGATATTCATATTATCTTTCAAAACTCTCCATTCAAAATCGTGAAGATGAACACAGTTTTCTTTGTAAAACTTCTAACCATTTTAGTATCATCACCCTCCTTTTTTGTTAGCTGTGAAAAGGTCTCACCACATTCGAATGATCATTAAAAACTCCAGAATTCTGTTGGGGCAGCATCAATACAAACTGTGAATGTGGACGATTTTGGAGCAAAAGCTGACGGTCGATCTGATGATTCAGGTACTTCATCAGTAAAAATGTCGAATGTATGTCCTTTGTATTAGATTACAGGACACAAAGTTGAGGTGTTAAACGGTCGTGTCCATTAAATTTTCTATATTTTTTTCTTGTTTCTCCAGGCATTTAAGAAAGCTTGGAGAGAGGCCTGTAATTTTTCTCAACAAAGCCTTGTTCTGATTCCCAACAAGACTTACCATATGAAACCAACCAGCTTTTCTGGTCCATGTAAATCGGCTCTTAAACTTGGAGGTGAGTAGGGTATACATAAAATTATTGCATTTGCAATTTCTCAGAAAAAAAATAAAGCACCAGAGTGGCAAGATTTGTGGTTGTTAATATTGACAGGTAAACCTAGTTTTTTTTTTCGTTGTTATAAATTCATAGTATCCAAGGAAGCAGGAGAGATAAAAGCTTTTACAACTTTTCGTTGTATGAGAAAAATCAAAGACAATGGATAGTCTTCAAGAAAATTAGAAACTTGGAAGTTTATGATGGAGGAACCATAAATGGCAACGGTGAAGTTTGGTGTAACATTTCTTGCAACGTAAAAAAAAAAAAGTAGGGTATGTGTTCTTGAAAAAATTTAATCAAACTTATTTTTTGGGGTAAAGTTTACTAAACATTCATTTAATTAACTCGTATACGATATATTGAACTGAGATTGTGATCTGCAATGTTTGTTGAAGAAAACTTGTTTTCGTTTGTTTGTCACAATTTGCATTCCAAATATACGCAATTGATGATCCATTGTTCTTCTCCTTTGCAAAAGAAGATCTCGGTGTGGTTTTACATATATAAATCAGGATATGATTCATACACGCACAAATACATACATACACACATACATATATAAACATATAATTTATACACATGATATTACCATTTCGGAATGGCTGGGAATAGAAAGAAAAAGATGATCAATTTGTGTTTTGACCAAAATGTCATTGGATAAATCACACAAATGAACTGCACACGACCATATGATGGAACAAATACTCGAGTAGGAAGATCGGATATTAAGTGGGGATTGTGGATAATACATGAATTTAACAACTTAGTGATTATGAAAACTGATCTGTGGAGATGACAATCATAGCAAGTAAAATGGCATACAGAATTTGAACAATTATTTAAATACCACATATCTGATTTGACCAATGGAAGAATATTTCAGCACACATTTTAGGTTTGTTCGAGAAATATTTCCCAATATCATATTATGCAGAATTATACATGAAAGATCCGTTTTTGGTTCTCTCATTAGCTGTATGTCTCTTATGCCCATGAGGTCTTCTTCCGCTATAAGGTTTTTTTTTCAAGTAAACTATTTAATGCGGTATATGGTCTTCATACACTGGTTGCATTCGTTTAAACAGACAAACACGTATCTTTTTTATTGTGTTGAAAATTTTGAATTTCTTAAATTCATTTATTTCTCATTTGAAGTGCCTTTTCTCATCACTAGTAAACGTTGAACGTGCATTGCACGTTATTATGAAATACTTTATAAATGCTATAAAAGTAATATTTGAATATGCGTGAATGTTAATTAATTTAAAATTAATGCAAGAGAATATATACGTGACAATAAATGTTAAATCATTTATTTAATTTCAAATTAAGTAAAATTGAATGTTAATTAATATACATGGACATGAATAATGAAATGCATTTTTGAACGTGAAATTCTAATTAATTTATAGTTAGAATTAATAATACTGAAATACATAAATGAAGATGAATATTAATGAAATGAATGTGAATGTTAATTAAATGAGAATTAATAATAGAAAATTCATACATTAATGAAATGAAATGAATATGTTAAATGTACATGTATATTGATGGTAAATAAATGGTTAAATAAATTAAATACGCATTGAAAAATGAAAAGTAATGTATTATTGAAATAATTGAATTATAGTAGAGTTAGAATCGTCCAAAAAATGATTCTCACTTGACGTGATATTGTCAGGGCACAGGCAAAGGCTGGTTTGTGACTCATCTGAAGTATTGTATTGGGGAAACTTCCCTGCGGTTTTGCTATTGTCAGGCAATTCATTCTTGGCTTGGTTACTTGTATGATCCGATAGTAGAATTTCTAGTGGAACATATCACTGAACTTTACCTGTGTGTATCCTTGTGTTTGGGAATCTAAGAAACGAAGATGTACTACACCCAGATGTGCTTTTGTGCTATAAGTTTGTCTAATGGTTCACTTTTTTCGAAGGCCAAAAGAAAATATTGCATTAATTAATATCGCCAAGAAGCGTAGACGAAAGATAAAAAGGCAAACGATGGTCGGCGTCTATTTGATCTCCGGCAGCCTGCATCTCAACCCAGGGGTGTAGGTTTGTTTCTTATTTACTTCTTTATCCATAACAAATTTTTACCCTGCCTCTTTACGTCGAAATCTTTTCTTTAAACCTCTTTTCTTAAAAAAATCCTACTACTAAAAACCCTACGACATTGTCCAACATGAACGCCAGGGATGTGTAGCTGTAATCAGAGATCATAATGGAGTGGTTGGTGGTGGCTGCTCTGTCAAAAGGAATTGAAGCAAGATTGTCTTGATTGTATTCCTACTTTCCTAGCGCCGTTTTATTTGCACTAATTCATAAGATCGTTTTTTTTAATTGCAAAAAAAGAAACTCGTGTCAGTGTTGAAATTAAAAGTCCATTTTTTTTTCCTGGCTAAGCCAACTTTAGTTCGGTTCGACATGGTTTGGAATCTAGAAGTCAAATTAGTTTTCATCTTTTTTATTTTCTATTTTTTGGTAATATAGTCTTCATCTAGAAGTCAAATTAGTCTTCAAATTGATATCTTGGTTGGTCAATTTTTGCCAAAATCCAAACCCAGAAAACCTAATAACTGTCAAGTCATCTTTCGGTTATACTTTCACTATGTCAATTCCTAACTTTTATTCTGAATATAAACAAATGATATCCCGTGGCCAATGACAGAATTATGGCAGTCAAGTAAAAATTAGTTCTTTACACACAGAATATAAAAAAATTATGGCAATGGTTATATAAAAGTGGGTCTCACTATATATCCGGAGGATATATAGTGGGACCCACTTTTTATCGGAGAATATGAGTCGAAACAATAATAAGAATATTTCTAGCAAATTGGTACTTAGCCAACTCCCTTGTAGGTGTGATTCTCACCAAGTGTTGCTGGTAAACATGCAAAGGGGAAGTAATTAACAAGTTGATTTTCCAATTTTCTGTAGTTGAAAAATACCTGAAGATGAAAAGTCAGGTATCATGCAACTTTTCTGTATCTATTTATGTATCTCATTTGTTGCTGCTGATGATCAAATAACAACTTATCTTGGATTTTCAGCTGTTCCAGTCCAAATACTGAAGATGAAATACGTTTTTTTTGTAATAATTTTAACCATTTCAGTATGTTCACCCTCCTGTTTTGGTAATGAATATCAAAAGCTTCAGAATCTGAAGAATGTGGAAATTCTCCGGCGGCCTAGACCTTCAACTGTAAATAATCGTAAGCTAACCAAGGGTATGATTAGTTCTCCAAGGGCAGCATCAATGCAAATGGTGAATGTGGACGATTTTGGAGCGAAAGCTGATGGTCGAACCGATGATTCTCAGGTACTATACATCAGCAAAGATGTCGAATACTCTGTGCATATGTGCGTCTTTTCTAACAGTATATTATATTATATGTTCGTGTTAGCAAGCATTTATTCAAATTTTTAACAAAACCCAAAAAAAAATAATAATAATAATAAGGGAAAAAATCCAAAAATGTGACCAGACGAACTAGCCCACTTGGTCTATGTTGTAGAGTATTTGTTGATTCAACTCACTTTACATCTTGCTCGAATTTTTGAATCTTGATTTTTTTTGTAGTTTCAAGCATTTTTAGATAAGTAATTGTCGTGGGTTCTTAAATATCAATACTATAAATGAGTTCTTTTTTTTTAATATTGATTGTTACTTCCACAGGCATTCAAGAAAGCCTGGAGCAAGGCCTGTAGTTCTTCCCAACAAAGCCTTATTCTAATTCCCAACAAGACTTATTATATCAATCCTATCAACTTTACGGGTCCATGTAAATCTTCTCTTAAAATGGAGGTTAGTTATATATACACACATTACTTGCATATACACTATATATATATTTATAATTTCTCAGCAAAATAAACATTAAAAGTGGAAAGGTTATGTGCCTATGGCTGTTAGTAACTTGTAAATTCACAGATTCGAGGAACAATTGAAGCTTTTCCAAACACGTCATTGTATGAGAGAAGTCGGAGACGATGGATATTCTTCGAGAAAGTAGGAAACTTTGAAGTTTATGGTGGTGGAACCATAAATGGCAACGGACAAGTATGGTGGAATATTTCTTGCAAAGTAAAAAAAAGCAAGGTATGTGTCGTTATTGACAAAATCAACGGAGTCCCATCATTTTGTAGCGAGATGTTGGTCAAAAAACTTAATAAAACGGAATTTAGAAGTACATGTTTTTTGAAGATGAAATTTAACTGAGTAAATTTGTCTTAAACAATTAAAATGGTTCAATATGATATGAAAGCCCACGAATTCTTTTTATACAAAAGCCACGTAACATTTAAATGAATAAATTTATATCTACCATCTTTAATCCTTCAAATGAGACTATTTAATGTTATACAATGAAGTCTTTTTCTTTTTCTTTTTCTTGTAATTACATGTTATTGTAGTATGCTGACATT